GTCTCCCTACACTGCTGGCTGCAGGGCTGGAAGCTAGGCAACCTAAGCCGGTGGCGGTTGCTCCATCTACTGTTCCTGGCCCCCGCCCAGCCTGTTCCCGGCATGTGATGACACGCATAATTTATTCAATTTTCATGTCTGTGTGTGCGGCTGCTGCTGCTGCTGCCTCGCCCTTGCGCCCTGCGCCCAGCGCCCTGAGCCCTGCGCCCTGCGCCCTGTTAAGGTTTACGCGTCTCTAATGCTTAAATTACACATTCAAACACATACGTATGGAGCAAACAGGGCGCATAGAGACGCGCACACACGCTCACACGCACACACGCACACAGATGCCGCAGTCATGTGCGACATTTGGTTCGCAGGACTTTTTGCCGACGTTTTGTTTCCCACTTGGGCAAATAATGATCCCCAGACACACGCGGTGCTTTTTTCCTCTCCATTCCTGCTGCGTATTTACTGCAAAGATTATTTGCAATGCCTCGTTCCCATTGTGCGATACTGATGAGGGGGAATAATGGTCGGGCAGAGGCAGCAGCAGTATGAGGATGACGAGACTACAACGGGGCCGGGAGGAGGCGTAGCATCTCAGTATGCGGCCGCTTTGTCTACAACAAATCACTTTGTTGGCGCAACACTTTAATGTCTGGGATTAGGCATTACATTACGGTGAGATTTCCCTGTGTGCGTAACGGTTACGGTTGCTACACAGCGTCGTAGTCCACGGGGGGTGCAATACGGGCTTTACCTGGAAAGTTGTACGCTTTACTTTGATGGGAACAACATTATGTTGCTGCATGTTTCTGCTCCACTTTCGGAATTGCTAAAGACAAGAATCCACTCTAAATATTATCAAAATGAGCACCTCAGACGATTCTGTATTGTAGCATTCATTGCCTGATCTCACAGCAAAAACGGAATAAGTTTTAATTAACATTATTTTCATAATGCAGGGTTATCCTGCTCTGTTTATTTCTGACCCATGCTACTTTGAATTTATTCCCAGCATTCCCATCTCAACTCAAAGCTCCCCCCATTACAATTTCCGACTACGCACCTGCTTACCTGTGTGTTGGCTATGCAAGTCTGTATTTGACTGTGCACTTGAGTTCCATTTGCACTGTTAAAGTCATTCTGCTTAAGGAAATGTACTCAAATGTTAGCCATTCGACTCTGTGCGAGTGTGTGCTCAAGTACAAGTTCTAACGGAAGTGGGTTTTTGGTAATATAAACTTTATATGTCAACTGCTTACCCATATTTGTATATACATACATATATATATATATATGTACAAATATACATAGTCGAACATGCACAAATGTGCACTCAAGCTTGAGTATTATTGAAAAACTATGTCAACATATTTTTGGTGCATGTCAAGGAGTAAAGTAAAGCTGAAAGGCTTTCTACTTCCCGTATGCAAGTAAATGGAAAATCTCAAAGTGTATTTAAGAAATTATTACAAAATAAGTTCCCGTTCGGGCCATTTAGGTTCTGTTTATTGTGCAGGATTCTGTGAGTAAAAATTTTTCACATTTTGTGATTTCTATGCGTTTGTCCGATTATGAATATTGCAGAGAAATAGAAAGGGTTTTTTTTCCATGACACTTTGTTAATCTGCTGACACTTAAATCTGCCCTGAAATGTGTATAGAGGGTACCCATATTGTTACCATATTCCCTTTCATTTGGAGATACGAGTAATTCAGTTGCTGATACTTAAATTCTTGCCTGGATAGTCAGATCTGCAGAGCTTGAACCATTGGATTTCCAACATCTTAAAATGGATTGTAAAATATAAATGGAATAAATGAATATAAACTCTTAAAATGCTTAATTTGCTTCTCGATTGCTTTAAAATTGCGGCATTCCGGGAAAAATTCTGTTTAAAATATTCGCTACGGGTAGACGGTTTCTCGCATTTATATTTTCAGCTGCCGTTCTGCCATGCTATTTTGAAGTGAAATGGCAGCCCTTGAAAAAATAAAGCCAGTGATCAAAATCAGTGTGTAATATTTTTGCTGTTTCGCACTCGCAAAAATGTTTTACAATTCAGCCCATTGGGGGTGGCTGCCTGGGCTGGCAGTGGAGGGGTATGTGAGGACTGGGGCGTGTGTCGCCATCAACTGCAAATTGCTCACGCAAATTGTCTGTTTCCTCATGCCACAATTGAGGCTGAAGCTGCCCCCACCAGGGCGATGTCTATTTTGCGCCTGTAAATCGTAAATCAGCGCAGATTATTGTTGCAAACCCCTCATCCTCCTCATACTCGAATCAGAAGCATTTACATTTGTATACTTTCCTTTTGCTGTCTGCGTTTTTCAATTTGGAGCAGCTTAAAGCAACCGTCGGGTTTGTCTTGCAGCCCTGCCCTGCCCTGCCCTGCTGGGGCGCTTTATCAAAGGCCGTTCTTCTTCATAAATATGCAAATTGTTCCAGCTCCAGTTCCTTCCTCTGTCAGACCCACTGTGGCGGCTGCCGTTTTACGGCTCTAAATCGGATTTACTTTCACTGGCTTTAAGTTTCAACTTGCTGTCGCGGTACATACCTACATATCTGTAGGTCCCTTTGTAGTCGCGAAAATATTTGATTATTTGCCGCCCCACATGGAGAAGGGACGTGGAGAGAGCGACCTCCTCTGGCTTCGCTCGGGCTGCAGCTAACGATTTTGATTGCCACAGCACGAGGCACGTGATTGCAGGTGCCCGAGTTGGCCGCAAACAATGGCGGGTGGTGGGATGGATGGATGGATGGTTATGTGCTGCCTAACCACCTCTCTGCATGCTGCGCCAGCCTGTCTCGAGTGCTGTGGCTGCTACCCGCATCACTCATACGCACAGTGGTAGCAAAGGAACAGCATATGCTCGTGCGAGTGCGAGCAATAACTTTGGTTGAATCACTGGCAACTTTTCAGCGTTGGGTAATTGGGGAGAGCTGATGAAAATTCTATTATGAGTCCTTCGACAAAGCCCTGGGCCACTAATTAGATCAAAATGTTTCATATTTCAGCAACAGACACTTTTGTGCTGTACCTACATACTCGACTTGCCTGAGCATTGATTAAAAGTTTTGTGTAAATTGAGTTTGAATACTCGTATTATTATGCAAGAATATCAGGTTTCCTTTCCGACCGCACGAGAGGCACTTACGCAACACCCTGCCTGCTGGCAGCCTTAATTGAGCCGCTGCCCTCCTGTCAACCAACCCCCAAAGACTGGTGGCTGGTGGCTGGGCTGTACCTTCAGCCCAGCCCCAAGAGGTTGAGGTGCGTGTGTTATCTGGCCCAACTGGCGGCACTTTTGCTGCCTTCTAATTAGATGTTGAGGCTGCATTAATTGCCACCCCAGCACGGACTTTATGGCTTTCCGAGCCACCTGAACCCGGTGGCTGCCTGAGTTTTATTGGCAAGATAGATAAAAGTCGAATTAGCGTTGACTTAATTCGCCTGTCAAATGCTTTATGCCTGACATTTCGCCACCAAAAGAATATACACTCCCCGGCCACGTATTGTACATAAAATGGTATTTATTTATACATCATTTACTCGCCTTTGTGTTCTATGTTTGGCCTCGATTGTGCGCCACATAAATAAGTAAATGGCCCACAGGAATTGCATAATACTTTTTCCATGAGCAGCAGAGCAGCTTTGCATGCATAATTCAGGCGTATGAATTTCATGTGCGCTCCCACAAACAAAGCAAAAATCAATCAAATTAAATTGAAAATGAAAATCATTGAGCCCGGCCTGAACCGACTGGGAACACTTTTGGGCCTGGGATATCCAAGGCCAAGAGACTGCGCCAAAAACTTGCACAAGATTTCTGGCCACAATTCCATTGTTGCCACATTCGGGCTCAGGCCCCTAGCTCGCAATTTCACAATTTAATTATCGATAAGAAGGGGCAGACGAAACAGCAGCAGCAGGAGCAGGATCAGAAGCTGTGCATAAAGTTGTGAAAGCCTCCCGGCATCTGGCAGTTTCTGTTTTTGTTTCCATTACCATTCACAAGTTTGTTTTGCTAAGCCCCTGGCCCTCGCCGTCTTCAAGTGCTCTCCCAGGAGCCTTGGATTTGCATTTTGCTCTTTGCAGCTAGACCTTAATTTATGGATTTGTGCAATTGACTGGACGAACCAACCGCAATTATTGCTCGGTATGGCCTTTGGGGCAAAATAATCGTGCATGGCGCCCTGTTGTTGGCATTGAGTAAGCCGAGTATTTGATATTATTGTGGCGCACAAATGTTATTTGATAAAATCAAATCAAGAAGCAACTTGACACATAACTCTGTGCACTTGACCATTAAATGTCAGCTGTTAAATAAATTATCCTGGCAATAATTAATGCCAATTCCATTACCGGCCCGCACAGAGTGCATATAGCGGTCTGGTCTTCATTTCGTAATGCTCATTTAAATTTTAATTAGATGGCCATAAATTGATTTGCAAAGTGTTGATTATGTTTTGGGCCGAATAAAATTAATTTTCAATTTTTCATTTGCCTTTGATTAGCTCTCCTAATGGACTGCCAGTTGTCATTCCACTCGAGTAGCTCCCTCCGCAAATAATTCTCCAAATGATTGTGTTTCGTTTTCTTTCACCATGCCACAAAAAAAAAATGCTAAAATAAAAAGTGGCAAAACTTTTTCAATTTTCGCTGCTGCGTCTGGCTAATTATGAGTTCTTAACTAAAACTCAGACGAGAGCAGCCAAAGCAAGCAGCTCGAAAAAATTGTCTTGCAATTAAGGCGGAAAATTAAAACTGAGCAAAGGCAGCGGCAATGGCAGACAGCAGTCCGATGAGCAGCGGTAAAATGTGAATGAATTAGCTCGATTTGCATGAAAATTTCATAAATATGTAAGCAGCGTGGAGTGGACAGTGGAGAAACTGGCGGACACATAAGCACGAGGACCGTGCATAAAAGGCGGGGCCCGGGCCGCTCCAAAAGCAAACAAAAATGCTGCTGCAGAGTCCCCAAGGTACGAGTAATCAAAGCAAAAATTACCTAATTAACATAATCCGCAGTGGCCAAATGAGGCGGCGGCTGCTGCTGCTGCTCCTGCTGCTGCTCCTGCTGCTCCTCCTGTTCCTGGTGGGAGTAAAAGTGGGAGTGGCCTCAGCGACGTCTGTGGCCGTTGATTAGCTCTGCCTTGCCGTACACTCTCCGTGTTCTTTTTCTGTCTGTCCGTTAATCCTCTGTGATAAGTTGTCTAGGAGTTGATCCTGTGCCGGCTGTCGTCGGGGCGAGGACAGTTCGTCGTGTTGTTAGCACGTTGATTAATATGCAGACGTTTAAAATTCGTTTTTTCTCTTGCTTTGCACTGTTTTTGTTTGGCTCTGTTCTGTTTGCTTGCCTCGTTTCCTTTGGGTTGTGTTTATGGTTATCTCACATTGCTTTGTGTTTGCTTCACGGTTGGTGGGGCACTGGAATAGATTTAACTTTAAGTTACACGCTGACTGACAGCTTTAAGCACTGCTCCTGCCTGCACCTGGCTGATGTCCTACCGAAAGTCAGCTAAAATTCCAAGTCAAGGAAGCACACACACACACACACACACACATTAAAATATATAAGTTTGGTCGGTAGGAAATGAGCCAGGCACGCAGCTGGCCTGAAACGTATACGTGGAGGTCTATATAATTGTGGACACAGGCTGGAGACGCGCCTTGCTGTCTGCCATCCAGAAAAAGTTTTGACTTTCCGAGTTCTGCGAGCGGAAGCAGGCCACAGACAACAAATCAAGCACACTCTCACTCACACTCTCACTCACAGTCGCTCATACACGCACAGGCACCCGCTTGGTCCTGGACCGGGCCACACTTAAGCACTTCAAGGCTCTGATCTGATCTGCTACCTGGTCTTGGTTCTGGTTTTAGTTGCACAAATTATGAGGGCGCGGGAGGCAGCTGTCGGGTATGGTCTAATTATGTTTGTTGCTTCTTTACTCGGCACTGTGGGCACTGTGAACTTCGCGCTGTCCGGCTGTGGGTGGTCGCGTGTCCTGGCGGTGGTGGATTCAGCACTAGACTGAGCTCCACATGCGGCCAGGACATGCTTTTAAGTCAGCTCGGGCTGCTGTGCTCGGCTTCGGCTGCTGCTCGAACTTCGAAATTCGAACTTGAGTGCCGCGCCTGCGCCGGCTCTCTCTCTGGTGCTGCTCTCCAGGCCTCTCTTTGTGACAGTCCTGCGGCGTTCTGCTCTTTGTGTTGCCTGCTCGGTGCGTTTTGTTATTATTTTGTTTATGCCCCTGCCAGGCAGTGTCCTTGTGTGTGTGTGTGTGTGTGTGTCGTCACCTGTTAGCATTTGCGAGTCCTTGAAACCGACCGTGTTGACTCGCCGGGATGTGGTGGCTCGTCCGGCTCGGCCTTGCAGCTTCTACGGCGGTCGCTCAAGTTGCGGCTGCTTAGAGTCACAATCTTGGAACCACCCCCCCTCCATAGACTGCTGTTGACATTGCACACATTATGTAATAATAATACACACACACATACACACACACCCTTCTGGCGCCGTGTTGAAACTTCAAATTAATTGCTACCGAAAAATATAACTGGCAGGCTGTGTGGCCGGTGGGTGGGTGGCTTTGTCTGGTTCAGACCACAAGCCAAACACCAGGCACGTTCTTGTTTGCATGCTGCAGGATGCCTAAAACATGCTCCGAAGGTCAGTTGCAGGGGAGGACAGGTGTCCTGTCCGGTCCGGTCCTGTCCGTTCCTGTCCGGGTGTGTGCGACGCGCAAAAGTCATTAAGTGTGGCCTGAAAGTGCGATGCACAGACAAAGCTGAGCCACAACAACCGGGCACATATAATATTTTTTGGGCTGACTCTCGACTAACTTGTTACCCAGCGATTAGCGATTAGCGAACCCCTTAGGGGAGAGCAGTCCCAAAGGCTCGAGTGTGATTCGCAAAGTGCCATTGTTACGTCGTGTCGTGTCCATATACCGAGAGTAGTACCCTGGAGCTGTCGCTATAACGAGAACATCAGCAACGCCGTAACGAGGTTCATGTTTAATGGCCGTGCAGGACGAGCGGGCCCAAAACGAAGAGATGGGGATTTTATCCAGGGTCCTGTCTCATGTCCGGGGTGTCGGGCCAACAAATGCAGCTACAAAGGCAGCCCAGCCCAGACCAGCCCAAAAGACATGCACTAATATCACCGTAGTCCTGCCGTCCTGTAACACTGCTGTTCGTGTTGCATGCCCCATGTACCCAGCTCTACTCTTGTGTGCCGTGTTTGGGCTTACAGCTTGAACCTGACACAGAAAATTGTATTTTAATGATGGGGCATAGCGTCACTGGCAACGACAGGGACTGGGACTGGGACTGGGACAGGGACAACGAGCACGACAACCGGGCCCCATTCAAGACGTTAATAAAGCGATGCAACGCAGCAAATTCCATTGCTGCCTGCTACTACCAAAGGGCTCTGTGCTCTGGGCTTGGGTCTGCAGGGGGTGTGGGGGGTGCAAATGAAGTTGTTACTGCCTGCAGTACTGCCTGGCTTTAGTCCAGCCCGGGTTGGCTGACATTTTTTGGTGCGTTGCCATTTCATGCCTGCAGCAGGTGCATCACCATCACCAGAAGCCAGAGCTAAGGCAGCACCAGCTGAAGTTGGGCAATAGGAGTACAAACGAAATCCATGGACACATGGGCCCCAGCCAAGACTCCTCTGGCATGCATATTCCATTCCAATTGCATTGCCGGGGGGTGTGCCTGCCTATTCTCATGCCTGGAAAGTGCCCTTTCGACTAGCTTTCCATTTAATCACACACACATATCATCGTGTGTACATGTGTGTGGCTCTGTGTGAATTTTTGAGTATTTTTGTTTCGTAAGTAAACTTGTTTATGCATTGCTGCAGTCATAATTATGGTTAATGGCCATTTGCATTTGGTATGGTGCTGGGGGTTTTGCATAAATATTTTCATATCGTGAGGGCTGTGCTCCCCACACACTTCACGAGACACTCTAAAAAGGAACAGCTCTGTTTTAAATACAGTTCTATAAATAATTTCCAGCTTAGAGCACGGCACCATGGACTGGAAGTCGAAATACAGAAGACTGTAAAACGTTTTTATTTGTTCAGCAATTCCACTTGTTTGTTTTATTTCCATACAATATATTTCCCTAGAATTTCATTCAGCATTACTGAGCTTCTAATTATAGCTGATATTTTATAAATATTTTCAGTTGAACCCCAGGATGAGGACAAGGATAATGAGGACGTGCAGAACGATGACGAGGATGATGATGATGATGTGGAGAACGAGGAGTTCGAGGAGCAGAGTAAGCATTCGTCGCCGAAACAAATCCATGATAAATATGAAAATAATTTACGAAAATTTCGGCTAATAAATGGCATTTGCCTGTTCTGTTCTCTCTTACCCCCCCACAAAAACCAGATAAGGGACTCACCGAGAAAACGTTCAAATTTGATGATTTTGCCCGAAGGTAAATGGGCCCTGCCCCCAAGGTCCAACAAAAAAGGATGGAAAGTTTTCGAATCAAGGCCAACCGCTTGGACATTTTGTGTGTGTGTGTTTTAGAGTGGATGCGATGGGATGGGATGGTGCTTACACTTTATGCCTGTTATTTGAAAAGTTCTCATGGTCGGGGTGGTCCATCGGTTGGTCGGCGGTTTGCAGTGATGGTCGTGTTGAAAATTGTAATTGTATTTTTAATTGAAAGGCAGACCAGTGCCGGGCCACGGCGGCAGAGTCACTGCTACAGCTCGTGGCTACTAATTAAGGATTAGTGTCAGAAATTACTTGGGCCAAAAGTTTTATGGCCGCGAACTCGAACGGGAACGGAAACGGGCACGGGCACGGGAACCGGGAACCAGAGCGAAGCGCGCACAGATGCCGCAGGCAGCTTAGATCCCAGCAGTGGCAGCAACAGTCCCAGCTACAAACCATTATAATAAAATGACGTCAAGTTGGTTTTGCTTGTTTTATTTTAATTGTTCTGCCATTCGCAATGTTGCTGTAGCCGTTGCCGCCACTTCTGCTGCCGCCGCTTCTGCTGCTGTTGTTTCAAATGTTTCTAAAACTTTGCCCCGAATGTTCGGTGCTTCTGTGGTGGGTACGGGTTTGTTTTTGGGGTGGGAGGGGGTGGTGGCAAACCTGGCCAACCAGCAGGATAAACTCTTAAATCATAATTAGTTAAATTTAGCATAATTTAATTGGAGTTTGTAGACCATCCCTGACATCTCGCTCTTGGCTGCCTGAACATTGGTTCGTAATTATTTTTATATTCTCTTCCTTCAGATTGCTGCACCCGAAGATTGTTCGTGCCTGCACACTGGTGCTAACGGACTGGGCCCAGATTCCCACCCGGGCCCTGAAGGCGGCCGTTACCGTTCTGCACCGCATCGCCTACGGCTGCTCCTGCCCCGGAATGCTCTTCCAGGTGAGCCAGAGAGCGTTGCACCTAATTGCAATTCCCCAAGCGTCCAGCGTCTCGTTGGCCTCTCAATGATTGTGGTGGGGTCGTTGCCTGCTGCTTCTGTCGCCCCTTTTGGTTTTGGCTACGCTTTTAATTCTTTTGGCCTGCGACCTGCACATAAATCAAAGTCAAATGCAAAAACAAATGCCGCGGCTTAGCAGCTCAGTCGACATTCTGCGGCTCATTTTTTTTCCTAGACGTGCACTGAGCAAAAATTCGGAGACCTTCAACCACGAACACCGCCGCACTGTAGTAATGCTGGAGCCCTAGACTTATCCCTAATTAAATTTTGGATTCGTGTTTTCAAAGGGGAATTGAAATTGTATTGAGTATATGGTAAAGGGGGATTTTATAACCAGCCAAAAGAATATTTTGAAGGGAACCGCTGATAGTCAAATAGAGTGAATGAATGTCAATGAATCTATCATTCGATTTCTGCCCTCACTTTCGAGTCTCAGAGTATAAATGCATATTATTGAGTAAGATTGGCTCTCAAAACCAAGAGAATATTGTCAATTGTAGACAATTTGGTTGAGTGTGCTCTCGTACTTTCTTTCACTGTCGCTGCTTTCGTTTCATTTTTATGGTAATTTGTACAAATTAAGCGAACCTTTTTATACCCGTACTCAAAAAAAATTAAGGGGGTATTTTAATTTTTTTTAAAAAAGGGGTGTTTTTAAAACAAAAAAAAAAAATTTTCCCCCCCCTAAAATTTTTTTTTTTTTTTTTCCCCATCCCACCCCGCCATATATTTTTTTTTTTTTTTCCTTCTTTTTTTTTTTTTTTTTTTTTTTTTTTTTTTTTTTTTTTTTTTTTTTTTGCCCCCCCCACCAACAAACACAAACCAACCGCCACCCAAAATCTTTTTTTTTTTCCCCCCCTTTCCTCCCCCCCCCCCCAAATTTCTTTATCCCCCCCCCCCCCCCCCCCCCCCCCCCCCCCCCCCCAAAACCACAATTTTTGGGAAAAACCAAAAAAAAAAAAAAAAAAAAAACACAACACCCCCCATCCCCACCCCCACCCCTACCTTACTCCCAAACCCTCTTTAACCCCAAAAAAAATTAAAATTTCTTTTCTCCCCCCCCCTCCCCCCCCCCCCCCCCCCCCCCCCCCCCCCCCCCCCCCCCCCCCCCCCCCCTCCCCCCCCCCCCCCCCCCCCCCCCCCCCCCCAACAAAAAAAAAAAAAAAAAAAAAAAATAATATTTTTTTTTTTTTTTTTTTTTTTTTTTTTATATTTTTTTTTTATATTAAAAAAATAAAAAAAAAAAAAAAAAAAAATAAATATTTTTTTTTTTTTTTTTTTTTTTTTTTTTAAAAAAATACTTCCACAAACTTATTCCCCCCCCCCCCGCCCCCGCCCCCCCCTCTTTCTATTTGTGCCAAGCCACAAACGATATTTGCTGCGAGTTCTTTACGAGTAAACGTACATTTATATAATATATATTTTTTTTTGAAACGAGTCACCCGCTTCGCTTGCTCGTTGGTCCCTTTTCAGACCCTCTGTTTGTCAGCCAGAATTTGAACTTTTTAAGCCTTTCACGCGCTGCCTTGAGCCGCACCAT